GCCTTAAGCCTTGTAGAGAACCTGTGCCTCCCCCAGCTGGTAGCTTCCTCCAGTCTCTCAGAGCACAGAGCCATACCTGATTGAAACAATTTGGTGGGCCTGTGGCTTGTACCACAGGGGAACAGTAGATTCCCTCTCCCTGCAGGCATTCAGCTGGGAGGTTAACATTTGTGGTGTGGTTATGATCTCCCTGCTGTTCGCATTCATCATAGAAGAATGCCTTCTACTTCAAAAATGTTGCCGGCTCAAGAGCTGCTCTGGCTAGGTCCTTCCAGTCCTGAGTGCAATTAAGTTCAAGACTGAGCGACTGAGCGATTTAAGCATTTGCTCTGCAAATGGCCCCCAGGGTGCATCCTCTTTTACTGCCTTCTTCAACTCTTTCAGGGTGCCCAACATGTGTGGGTACCAAGTGGCAGGGCGCTGTGTGGGGGGTCCATGTTGACTGGGAAGGCTGGTATCCTCTTACCCCACTTTTCATCTCTTATCCTACATAGATCTTCAAAAGGATCTCTGGCCTCCTGGAATGGGTTTCTGGGAGGCCATGGCTTGGGCCTGTCTGTGGCCTTGCCATTTCTTAGTCCCTTGCTGGCTGTGGCATTGCCTCATAAGGAAGCAGGTGCCATTGTCTTAGAAAAGGATATAGTCGTTGCCTGTCAGTAGAAGGTGCACCTGCACCATTTGGGGTCACCTCTTCTTGTACTATGAAGGCCAGCGGTACCATTTCCTGTCTCTCTCTTTCCTGCACCTGCTGTGGTTGCTTGCTTTGAAGTAGATTTTCACCCCCACTGCTTTCCCCTTGTCTGTCTCTCACAGCCTCATCTTCCCTCAGGGCCATCATTATATGACAAGGATCTGTTGCAGGGCGCCCTTTGCTGAATGGCTGTCACAATAGGAAAAAAATGTCATGGTAAAGTATACCCCTGTCTCACTTCAGCTTGCCGTGCATTTGCCATTATCTTGTCCCATATCCTAGGGTCAGAAACATCAGTGACACTAATCCATGGGCTGGTATCTATCACTACGTCCCAAAACTTCTGGGCTTCTCTTATTCAGGGTTAAACCTCTAGTATCCAAGAGAGTGTGCAGCACTTGCAGCTGTGAGTCTGTGGTGGAACTCGGTAGGTTCCCATTTCCCCTTCCTCACTGCTCTGTGAGGGGCCACACCCTTTCGTGTAGACTTACCTCAGATCCCTGTTTGGGCGCCAGGTGATGGGCTCTGTCTCATCCAGAGAGGAGGTCCATGGAACAGGGTAGAGGAGAGTGTGGCTGTGGAGTCACTATTGAAGACCTCCGGAGAACAAGCAGGAAGCAGGTCTGACTTTATTGCACATTTACCATGTACATATACTCAGGCAGGAGCTAAGCAGATTTCAGGCAGCCACCAGTACAATGTCTTGCCAACTGTCCTTGCAGCGACCAATCAAGGAGCGGGCCGTGGAGCAAGCACAGGGACTCCAACACATGACCTCACGCCCAGGACTGTGTCTACAGGGTAAGCAATTTGCCACACACGCATGCGCCTAGCATAAGGGGAGTGGTTTGCCACTCAGATGCCTTTAACTCATACCATGTATGCAGTACTCCATACTTGTCCCCACAGATTAAAATACTTTTTTTTTCTGATCATGACAATACTGTTGAACTCACATATAATCCTTTCACAAAATAAAACACTGTATTTGGGAACAAACTAGGAAAACACTGTATTTGTAGAATACACATGAGATAAATAAACCTTTTCTAAGTTAGTTGCCTCTAATATTTTGTTGTAGTAACATGAATTGACCAATATAGAAAACTGGTGTCAGAAGTGACATTGATCATCACGATAGCTATACCTGAAGATGTGGAGGGGAGACTTTTAATTGTTTAACAGAAAAAGGATGGAAAAGTTTGGAGGAGTAAACTATAGAAAGCCTAGAATGCTGTAAGCACTGTGGGTGATTCTAGTGAGGGCTCAGAAGACCAAAATGCTGATAGGAATGTGGACAGTAAAAGCCATGTTGATGAGGTGTCTCATGGAAATGAGGATCCTATTGGGAACTGGAGAAAAGGCCACCCTTTAGTCACACCACGGCAAATAATTTTAATATATTACTTTGTGAAGTGATGACTTTAAATGTGGTAGGCTAATTTATTTGATACAGAAGATTTCAAAATAGCAAAGCATTTATACCGTGGATGTTATTGGCTGCTTTTAGCCAAATTTACATTGAGAATCAAGAGCAAAAAGGAGCAAAGAAGACTTGAAAAATGTGTAGCCTGGCCAGAAAAGGAGCACAAAAGAATGTCAGGGTGTGGCCATGGATGGGTGGTTTCTAAAGAGATTAGCACCAGTACAAAGAAGCTGAATCTGGGAAAATAGGAACCACACTCCCCAGTCATCTCAGCAATCAGCAAGGCCACCACTGTCCTCACAGGCACAGAGGAATATTAGTGTAAGTTTGTTTCAAATACTTTCCAGGGAAGAACTGTTTCAGGAAAGAGTCCCAGGGAACTATGAGAGCCCAGGACTGCTCAGAATTCACTTCTCTACACTCAGTCAGCAAAGCCCTCCACAGCCACAGTTGTGCTCCACGTGTTGCTCACTCTGATGGCAGTGCTTGGGGCCACCCACTGATGCTGGGTCTGCAGGCAGGCAGAATTGCAAGGGTTATGGGCTCTTGGTGGCCTCTATGGTAATTTAGAGTCTGGGAGGCCAGGCAGAGTTGTGCTACAAGGCTGCAGTTCCTGCAGGGAGTCTCCCACGGATGATGCATGGCACAGTTGAGGGAGTGAAGCCAAAGCTAAAGTGAGGCCCAAGGAAAACAGAGATGTCATTACATGCAGCCCCTGCAGGGAAAGCTGCAGGAAGCATGCAAAATCATCTGGAGGCGCAGCCATGTGGGCTGCCACCGGTAGAGCCACAGAGGCAGGGATGACCAAGCCCTCGGGAGCCCGCGTCCCACCACAGTGTGCCCAGATGCCAGATATGGAGCCTTGGGGTTTGCTGTTTTCCCCGCTGGCTTCATCCCTGCTTTGGGCTGATTCCCCCTTTTTCTTTCTGCATTCCTCCCTTTAGGAATAGAAATGCACACCCTGCGACTGTCCTGTCATTGTATCTTCTACAGATGTAACCTGCTTTTTTGTTTTAAAAAGGGCTCACCACTGAATTTGCCTTGAGTCTCACACGAGACTTTGGACTTGTTTCTGAGCATTGCTGGAACACTGACTTGGGGTTGGAATTAACTCTTGGGGTTCTGCACTGTGAGATGGATACGAAACTTTGGGGGTGAGGAAGAGAATGCAAGAGCTTAGATCTGTCCTCCAAAGACCTGTGGGTCTCATGGGGGTCTGCAGGAGGGTTCATTGGAAAGTGATGGGGTCTTTAGGAGGTGGGGGTTAGTGGGAGGTCCTTAGGTCACTGGGGATGTGCCCTCACAGGGCACTGTGAGACCTCAGTCTCTTTCTCTCACTCTCGTTCTTGCTCTCACTCTCTCCCCTCCTGGCTCAAGATGTAATCACTTGTTTGCTCTTACACAGGTTCCTGCCATGATGTGCCACCTCCTGCCGTCCTCATCAGAACAGAGGTTGATGCACCACTGGAACAGTTCAAAGGCACCAGGTCTTTGAACCTCTAAACTGTGAGCTAAATAAACCTTTTTCCTTTATAAGTTAGTTGCCTCAGGTTATTTTGTTGTAGTAATGCAAAGTGAGTACAGAATGTTGGAAAATACTAGCTATATTTGGTGTATCTGCAATATTTGTGTGTGCTAAAATACAGGTTAATGCTGTTAATCAGCATTACTGTAAAAAACTAACTGAGATAAATCAACTTATAAAGAGGAAAGGTTAATTTTGGCTCACGGTTTCAGAGGTTTCCGTCCATGGTCACTTGGACCTGCTGCTTTTGGTCTGTGTGAGGCAGCACACCACGGTAGAGGCACACTGGGAAAGAAGCTGCTTGCCTTATGGTGGCCAGGAAGCAAAGAAAGAGAGGAAGGGGAGGTGTCAATGTCCCCTTCAAGGGCTCACCCAGCAACCTAACTTCCTCCCAGTAGGCCCCACCTCTTAAAAGTTTCACCACCCCCCAATGATGCCACAGGCTGGGGACCAAGCCTCCAACATGTGGCTTTTGGGGGACATTCAGGCTCCAAACTATAGGGGGAACGATGGTTATTTCGGGGCAATGTGATTATTGGCGAATCCTCTTTTCTAATGTGTGATATGTCAACTTCTATATTTTTTCAATTTTCTGTCTTATCTTGCATCCATAATTAGAAAATCTAATTTAATGATAAATAAATGCAACACCAATATAAAGAAAAACACAGAAAAATAATTTATGCCAATTTATTAACAAATTTTTAATTGTGAAAAACATCAGATAAAATGTACTTGGTTTCTGTCATTGACACAAATAATGATCATCCTTGCAAATGCATCGTCCATCAATTTTATAGCATCATTATTTTTCCCCAAAGTCAGTAATCATACACTGTTCTCAAGGCTCCGACCCACCCACTCACATCAAGTATACCCTAAAGGTATACAGGCTTCCTTCTTTAGATATAAAAAGTGCCTCCTAGGAACCTGAACTTAAGTGAAGACTGACTGTCACTGGTGACTCGCGGGCTGGTCCACAGCAGTCCACAAACCACGATGGTGGCATGAAAACCGCCATGTGAAGTAGGGGAAACTGTGGGACCAACTTTGAATCCTGTGTTCCCAAACAGGCACACGGCTGCATAAGGAAAATAACCCAGAGTGCAGTAAGCCACAGGAGAGGGGACAGGCACAGCCAGATTGAAAATACTGACGCAGAATTTGTATCTAATACCTTTATCTACCCTTAACTAGCTATTAAATTACTTTCCCTTTTATAAAATGCTCTGGGAATGTCTAACTATGGCAAAATATTTCTTTAATAAGAATAAAAAGAATTTAACACTGATCCTATTTTCAAGTTTACCATTGATTGGAGGATAGATCAAAATTTCACCGTACTTCCCATCGACCTCTCAATGTGCCTTGGATTTGTGGCCTTTCTTCACGCTCCCCTTTTTCCCAAAGCATTTCCGGCAGCCGTAGGCACAACATTTAAAGGCGATAAATGCCACTCCCAGCACGATGGCCAGGAGGAAGCCAATGACATCCAGGGAGTGGTACTGGTACCAGGTGAGGTCGTGCGCGGCGGGGCGCAGGTGCGGGGCCCCCTTGTGCCTCATCACGAACTCCACCCAGAACACAGCCAGGTCCAGCGGCTCAATGGGGCGGTCCTTGTGGAGCCTGGAGAGGCGCATGATGTTCTCCTTGTAGCTAGACACAAAGACAAATGTGTGGGTGCCCAGGACATCCTCGACAATGAACAAGCCACCCTTTATGCTGGCGGCCAGGGAGGACATTACCAGACTTTCTGAACTTGGTAGAGAACTGTATTTCTGCTCTAATCAGAAAGCATGCACACATGCACACACACAGTCTCTCTCTCAATTAATGTTCTGTGTAGATAAAAAGAAGGTGAGGAAGAAAAAGAAAAGAGGAGAAAAGAGGAAGGGAGGGAGGGAGGGAGACTGGGACCCCAAATTGTACTTTTACACATTTTTAAAACCTTGCTTCCTACTTTACTTTTCTTTTTAGTTATATTTTTGTGGGAATTAGTTTATGCTTTCTTTATAGTAAAACAATGAAACAGGAATTTTGTGTAATATTAATTATACTTATAGAAAAATTAAAAAATTTTACTTTATAGTAAAATCAAGGAAAAAGTCATGTCATAAATTATAGGTGGCCTCCCATCTGAAGTTACAAACAATCACACATAGCCAAAGAAAAACCATTTTGAAGTGCTAACTCCAAGGTGGTGGGTACACTTTCAACTGACTCACTGACACACCAAACCACCTGTGTGCTCAATTTAGCCTGAAGTTGCCTATGCAAACTGCTAATGCAAGATGGATTCTGATTATTAGACAGTGCTGATATTTGAATCAGAACAAACAAATCCAAAATGGGCAGACACTTTGGTGTGCTGATACATTAGAAGGAGGAGAAGGAGGAGAAGGAAAGAGAGAAAAGTAAGATACTCCTCTTCAGGACTTATGATCATTGCTGTTCTTAAATATATCTGTATTTTATTTAAATATATTACCATAACATAATATTCATATTTGGCCATAAATCTGGCTAAATAGCTTCCTTTTATATAGCTCTTATATTAAATTTTCTTAGAAATTTCAGTCATTTGTTCAATTTACTTTTTTTTAAATTTCGAGATGGGGTCTTGCTATGTTATCCAGACTGGCCTTGAATTTGTAATCCTCCTTCCTCAGCCTCCCAAATAACTGGAATTATAGATGTGCATCACCACACCCAGCCAGCCATTCATTCAATATTTATTGAGCACCTATGATGGCATGGTTGTCTGCATAAACTGATACTTGAGATTTTTCCATTTTTCTTTGTGTTGCATAGGTACAGTCCTAGCTTAACTGTTAGAAACATGGAGATAGAGATGTTTTGCTCAGAAATAAATAGTTGAAGAAGATAAACTTAAAATAACACTTTTTACTGCAAACTTTTTAAATTTGGATTCATCAGGGCTTAGTGCTACGGAAAAGCATACGTGTCCAAAAAATGTACATAAGCCCAAGGTACTTTGGAAGGATATTCTAACAGGACAATGGAAAGGTCCTGACCCAGTAATTGTCTGGAGTCGGGGGTCTGTTTGTGTGTTTCCATAGGGAGAACAGCAGCCGATTTGAATTCCAGAAATATTAACTAAAGCGATTTCTACAGACCAAAAAGAAGATGATTTGGCTCAAATCCATAACAACTGATATCCAAAACTTCAGTTTGGCTATTCTTACATCTGCAACAGAACCAGGATGTTTTTTTTCAATATTTTATTATTACCCTTTCCCACATCATGAAATTCTATTTTGTTTTTTGAGCTCATACAGACCTAGGTTAATGTTTTGCTGATCAGTTCTATTTTTTGACTATAGAGTTTTAAAACATTGCAATGGAGATTTCACCTGTAAAAAGTTATAAGGCCTTTACTATTATGTTATGTGTTGTATGTATTATGTGTGCACACTGTGTTTTGTGTTGTATGTTTGTAAGTACGTATGTCCATATATCATATATGATGAGCGCTCATGAAAAAATGGATCCAAATACTTTTTTTTATTCACATGATTTAAATTGGTTTAATTTAAATTGGGTAAACAGCTGTTGAGGATTGTTTTAATATGTGAACAAAAAAGGAGGTTAACAGATCTGTTTGTTTATTTTCACCTTTCCTTTTCATTATATTTAATAATTCTGTTCAAGATAATGTAAACTGTTAAGAAAATTGTTTTCTTTTAGTGCCTTCTGGAATGTGACATAATTTTTTCTTTAGCCATTATTGCCAGAATTCCTATCTTCATCCCAGTGCCGGTGAAGACAAAGATAAAACCAATCTATAGCTTCTGCAAGAGCCATCACTGAACTACTTGCAGAACTTGCCTGGACTATGTATCACTTGTATGCATTGTGAACTCACTTGTATGCATTGTGAACTATCTGTTGGTGCAGCGACTTGTGGTAGTGTTGGGGTATTTTTGCTGATGGTGTCATCAGTGGTACAAGTTTTCCAAAAGGAGCCGTCAATTGGCTTGGTGTATCCTCCTTCCTTCTGCTTGTGATGGTCGTTCAGCTAAAATTTGGGGGCCAACAGAGGTGAGGCAAAGAACCTCACCACCCCCCCGCTGGTACAAAGACCTATCCACAGGTGTGGCTGTATGTTGGACCGGTAGTCAATGACGGGTAACATCCAATTGCAATGGTACCAACCTAAGACAGGAGGCTGACGCCTTGAGGTCAGCTCATCCAATGATGGGTAAGAACCATATGTAGTATTGGACAACCTAAGGCAGGCACGGTCCCTAAGCCACATGCTTGTTGTTTAAACAGAGAGGGGGAGATGTTGAGAGCCACAGCCGAAGGGGCCCCAGCAAACTTCCAGCTGCCAGCAAACTTCCAGCTGCCAGCTGATGATTGGCTCACAGCGGCCCCAGCAAACTTCTAGCTGCCAACTGATTGGCTCCTCTGTGGTGATGTTCATTGGGTTGTTTCCCTGCCCTGAAGACCACGGAGCTGCTCATTGGGGGACTTTTTTTGGCTCTGCCCACGCGACCCAGCCAATCGGCCTCAAGAGCAGGAGTGGGGGGGAGGTTGAGAGGCCTGTGGGAAGCCGTTGGTGGCAGTTGGGCTCTGAAGGTTTTCCTGAAGAGCTGTGTGGTTTGACGTGTGTGTTCTAAAAATAAAGTTCGTTTCTTTTGACAAGTGGCTCCTGAATTGTGCCCAGTGAGACTGCGGCAGGTTAGTGTTCTTTAAAAATAACAATGTGAGCAGGGGATGTGGCTCAGTGAGAGAGTGTCTGCCTAGCATTCATGAAACCCTGGATTCCATCCCCAGCACCACAAAAAAAAATGAAAAATGAAATAATAACACACTAGAGAACTTGTAGTCATTTTTATGTCACATGTAGTCATCCACACCACTGAGCCAAGGAGCAAAGTCACGTTACTAATGTGAGTTTCATCAACACATGGACTGAAGCCAGGCGGCCAGCGTGCTGGTGTGTGGGCAGAACAGTGGGCCTGAAGTGCCAGGTCAGAAGACCACGCCCAGGAGAAGAAGGGCTGCGACCCACATCACCTGCTCACCGAGCACTCCAGCCCAGGGTCAGGTGGCCTTCTCCCTCCTGTCCACTGGCACAGCACACACTTAGCACCTCAAATCTGGGAGCCAGTCTTCAGTCCTCTCCCGCCTCCCCTGGCCAGGCTTGCTGTGTCCCCAGTGTACTGTGTCCTTCCAGGTGAATGCAACCTAGCTATTCCCATCTGTCCTCCCAATTAGTGCATCTTCCTAAAGAAAGCAACCTGGGTAAGCTGTGGTTTTAATGTGTCCCCAGAAGTTCAGATGGGGGACTTTAATTCCAAATGCAGAAGTTAGAGGAGTGGTGGGGCCTATAAGAAGAGATTAGGTCATTGAGAGCCATGAATGCCTTTCTGTGGGACAGGCGTGGTTACTGGGAGAATAGGTTGTTGCAAACAAGGGTTCCCCGTGTTCCGTCTCTTTGACAAACGCCCTGCCCTTCCGTTTTTCTGCCACCTTATGACACAGTGTGAAGCCCTCACCAAGTGCAACTGCCAGACCCTGGACTCGCCAACTTCCAGAACTGTGAGCCAGTAAACGTCTGTCTTTATGACTCACCCAGCCCCAGGTATTCTGTTATTGCAACGAAAACAGACAACGACAACACTCCTGACACTCTCACAGACACACACATACACACACAGGCATGCAAACACACACACTATCTATTGCTGGAAGAGATGCACTGCTGGCCATCATTTCTTCCCCTGGCTGGGAGTCGGCTTGACAGCATTACCCTACACTTCATGCAGATAGCATGTGATCTGATGGCTCTTGCCCATAGAACAGTTTTCAGAGTCATTTTTGAATAAACGTGCATTTGCTTTTCTTCTCAGCTTTTGTCTGTGATATCACAGAACGTCCACCTGTGCGATGCCTCGTGGATACAAGGCCTCAGAGGAAACATTGTACTTGTGAACCTGGGCTTGTTTTGTCTTAGGGACACTCTGCTTCTTGTAACAGAACATTTCTCTCTGCAGAAACTCATAGATGAGGCACCTATTATGGTGACTCTTTTTTAAAATAAATCAAAATTTTAAATCTAATAGGGGAAATAAAATGTTATAAGAACTAAAGGGTCCTTTCATAAAGTGAATCCCCAAATTATCTTATTTATGAGTCTGGTTTTGGGGGTATTTTCACACCAGAATGTTGACGGTGAACCCAAAGGGGAAAACACAGGTGGTATTCTTTACCCTCCCTCTTACCTTTTGTCATTGATGACGGCTTTTAGGGCATTTGCCAAATCATCAGAAGTCATCTCAAGGACATTCAGGGTCACGCCAGCTCCCCGCGTCTCCATGCGCTTGGCATTGTCCATCTGATCACCGAACAAGGGCATCATCACCATCGGTACCCCGTTGCATATGCCTTCGTAAACGCCGTGGGAGCCAGCATGCGTGATGAAGGCGCGCGTCTTCGGGTGACCTGGGAGGCAGAACCGTGAGGGATGCGGCTGTCCTCCGGCTGAGGCCTCGGGGGGGCTGCGCTGGGCCCCACAGAAGCACATGGGGAGGGCGTGGCCGCCCAGACCCGCAGGCCAGCACCCAGCGCAACCACCCGAGAGCCCGCGCCTGTGCCCGGCTCCGACCCTCCCAACATACCAAGCAGGTCATTCTGCGGTAACCACTTGACAAGTTTCGTGTTCTTCGCGAGATTGGATGGAGGAGTTCCGGTGTAGCGCCACAGGACCTTGCAGGGGTGAAAGGGACATCTTAATAAAAGAATGTGGCAGGATTTACAACAAAATAAAAAAGCCCTGCGACAGCAGCCGGGCAGCAAGTCCTCTGAAGGAAGAGAATGCGCATGACCTCCGCAGGGCCGAGACCTGGCAACGCAGGCCTGGGCTACTGGCTAGGCTCCTCCCCGGGCACCGGCTGCGCACCAGGGCTTCCCCTTGTCTGCGCCTCAAGGGAAAGCTTACTGAAGACAGCAGTGGATGAAGAACAGCACGTGAAAGAAAGCGAGTGTTCTAACCAACAGCTTTCTGGAGAAATGCTCTTACTAATATGAAGAAACAACATGTTATTTATTTTTATCTGAATTCTCCATTTTTAACTAAAGGTCTCTACAAGTGTCTCTTAGAGAAAAATGAGACTTCTGAGTGAAGGGGACCATGATTTAATGATAGTTAAGAGTTAAATTTCACCAAAACAAGTGAAATAAATAACAAACAAAAACCACTTTGGATTAGGGAAAGTGAATGGCCAAATCTTCAGTTGCAACTAGTGGAATTAATTTAGCGACTAGAAGTCTCTATGAAGGTAGGCATAGAGGAATGATATATAGAGCCTTCTTACCGTCTGGGGTATTCTGCCCAAGGCATCAGCAATTTCCATAGCCTTCTTCTCAGGAATCTCTGAGACCATTGATCCCAAAGAGAAAACCACAATTCCATGTTCTCCAGAGGCGTTGACATAGGCTTCAAATTCCTAGAGCCATAGGAGAGATTCCCAGTTAATTGTTTGCTCATATTCTTTAGTGACTACATACATTAAGCTATGAACTAGATGTCTTTCTAACAATGTGAAAGGCAAAAATTGGGAATTTTATATCATTTCCCCTCCCTTGCTCCCCGCCACAGGAGCTTTACAGGGTTACCAGTGGGACTGCCTTGAGATTCGGAATCCAGGCAATATGCTCATTTCCCAAAAGAAAAGTGGAGGTGCACACACGCGCACACACACATCTATGCACACACACGCACGCACATCCATGTAGACTCATTCACAGCCATGTACATGCACACACGGCCATATACAGCCACATACACACAGCCATGTACACACACAGCCATGTACATTCATGCACACAGGGTGGCCGTCCCACTTTGGGAAAACGGAGCTCTGATAATCATGGCAATCCTCCCCAGCCCTAGGTAATTAATGATCCAATTACCCTGAGAGTCTCCCAGATAGTTTTATATGTTCACAAAACATATCGAGGGCACTGATGCAATTGTGAAGTGGTAGGTTTGCATACAACTGGGGGTTCTCTGGGATATGGTACTGGGAAAGCCAGGACCCTGGTCAACCTACATGTGAGGTACAGAAGACTTCTCATAGGGCTCAGCATGTGTCACTTGAACGGCAACATTTGCCAAGCTCAACCACAGACATGTCCAGAAAAGTGCAAACACTGAGCAGCCTTCCCAGGGAGGAGCGCACTCCCACCCACCCTCACCAGCCTCAGACCCTCAGAAGTTGTCTGGCTCATCATAGCAGCTGACCTTATCCAATGGTCTCATCAAATAGGTCAGAGAGGCCAACTCACTCTGCCCACCACACCACATTTTTGGTCAATGGCAAGAACATCCTGACCATGGCTCTCTAAAATCCCTCTTCCAGGGATCAAGACCACATGCCTCCTTCCCTTTTTCCTGGAGAGAGGCAGATCACATATAAGTGATGTGAATGGCTGACCTACACTTTCCAAGGACCTTCACTCCTATAGGCTACATTTAATCTTGTAGGGAAAAGGCCAGAGTCTAATTTCCTATCTTTTACACTCTCCCACACCCATTCTGCAACCAGGAGAATGTGATTAACACAATGTCAAGCCCACAGCTCCACAAACATCCAGTTGAATAGCAGGACTTAAGCTCAAATGGCATGAAAGTTCACCTACAGGTGACAACAGAGCAACCACAGAGATTGTGTTATCACAGCCAGCACCCAGCCCTGTGCCAGCTTTTATGGGGTTGGATAAAGCTGGGGTTGATCCCTCTCCTGCTAATACTTCCTCTAAACCTTGCCCTAACTTCACAGCCACTGGAATGGCCAAAGAGTAAAGCAACATGTTAACTGAAAATAACCTTTGATTCCCCCATCCCTTGACTCCTTCCAAAAGGGAGGAGACCCTCTCACCTCAGAGTGAAAGGATTCCCCACTCTGATGAGCCCTCCTCCACTCAAGACAAAAACTTTAGAAGAGCTCCTAAATTTGACTGGGTACTTTTAGTTTCAGGATTTTATCATATTTTGCCTTGGCAAATATCTTTTTGTTCAAGAGTCCAATTCAACCACATGCTGGAAACCTCACGCTTTACCACTTTACCCTCAGGTCAACCACACCCACTCAGGGCTTCCTCTTCCTGTGCACATTTCCTCCAGGCCATCCTGAAGTCTCTGCCTCCCTAATCTTGCATCTGGCCACAGTCTCCGAAAGGCTACAGTCCACAAAGAGCCTCTCTCCCTGCCGGAGGAGGAATGACTCCTGGGATCTCTTGAGGCTCACTCCTTTCTCACCAAATGTTGTTCTCCAATTCTTTTCCTTCCAGACCCACTGAAGATGTGTTAAAGCCAGGTCGTGTTTTCTCTAGGGACGCTCTTAATGGAATAAAGACTTTATCTTTATTCTTGAAGTTCAGGACTTCCACCAAGAGGGCTGGAACTAGGACAACTGCCACCAGAGGGAAGGGAATGCAGAGTAGTATCGTTTTAACTAACAAAGGGGCAGAGAGAAAACAGCACGTAATTTGACAAACCAGCAAAAATCAGGCAAAGGGGGAAAACAGCAAAGTCAATGAAATGTAAAATAAATCAGACAAGGTGCAATCAAAACCTAGTCATAGAGTCAAACAGGCAAAATTCACCTATTAAAGCAATATGTCTGGCCAGATTACAAATACCACCTTCATGGTATATAAAAAGAAAGTCTGAAGACAGTGGGCACTGAAGAGGTATGAGGGAAATTTTAAAAAGTAATACAGGAGTGGCAAAATTAACTTATATAAATAGTTGGATTTCCGATTAAAACAAGACAAAGAAGGCTACTGTCAGCTACAGTTACATGGATATTTTCACACCTGAGCATGTGAGCACCAAACAAAGCATCCAATAGGTAATTTGTGCAATTCACCAAATTTATGGGATAGAGGGGAATATGATTATATCAATAAATGTTGGAAAAGCAGCTGATAAAATTTAACAACCTCTCCTTATAAACCTCCTAAAGATTAAAATCATTTGAATAAAGACTGTTTTCCCACACACAGTGGCAGACATAGTGCAAAATGATAAAGTAAAACTCAGTTTCCCCTAAAATCAGCAGCCAGCCAGGAATCCTGGCAATCACCAGAATCATTCACCTGCTCTTAGAGCTTCTAGTGAATTCCACAGCCCTAGTATTTTGCATGAAATTTGGAATGGAAGAACCCAAAATTTCCTTATCAAAAACTGACTGAATTTTCATTTTTAAAAAGTCATGAAAATCAATATTTTGGTGAGATAGCTGATAATGAGTAGATAATTAGAGATAGAAATGGAAAAATAACACATTCACAGTAGTGACAAAAAACTAATACACTTAAAAATGAGAAAAACAGAATAAATATGAGGAAAACTATAAAATATTTGATCCTTGTTGCGATAATGTTGGAAGTCACAACAAAACATCCTAGAATACAAATTTCAATGTTTCTCCATAGTGAACTAGATTAGATGGCCAGCAGTATAAACCATGGGACCCAAGCATCACGAAATACTGATGAGCAGTTAAAAAATAGATATAGCATTTAGAACTGCAGCAATAATCCCAGCATATTCATAAGTGATCAACAGGCACATATTACCACCCTATTTTGTAAAACAAACATAAAAAGATATATATATATATAGAGAAAGAGAGATATAGATATATAGATATATATAATATTATGTATATGCACGTATACAATTATAGATATCTTTATGCAATCATAGGAATATGAAGAAATATTGAGGATTGCTACCTATCCAGAAACTAGTTCTAGTTTGTACCTGTTTTGTCATTCATTCATTTGCCAAATATTCCGCGAGCACCCACTGTACATTAGTCTTAGGAACTGATGTTCCAGGCATAGCAAGCACATATAGACCATTTGCCAGATGTTAGGGATGCACGTGGCAGCAGGTGATGGACACAAAGTCTCACGTGCCTTCACATGGCTAGGACATGGAGGAGACGGTGGGAAACCCCTAAGTGAAACGACAGCGTGTCTGATGGACTCTGAAGGAAGCTGCACAGAATGCTGCTGGAGAGGGCCAACTCCAAGGAGGTGACACTGAAGCTGATCTCAAAGACGAGCAGACAGATGTGACAAATTCAGAGGGTAGCACCCCACTGAGAGGGGCAGTGTACCAAGGATCCTGAGCCGGAAAGACGGACTGTCCCAGGAATAGACAAGGCTGGTGTGGTGGGGGAAGATCCGAAGATTTATAAACAAGTCTTCTCATTCTGATTGGAATTTCCAGTATGCATGCTGTCACCAAAGTTTTAAATTTCAAAGTGAATGTGAAATGCCATTGCTTTCTCTGGGATCTTTCAGTGATAGCAAAAATATTTCTCTTTCATGCCTCTATAATTTGGGCAGGCTGACTAGATTTCTTTCCTATCTGAGATGTACCAATTGGCTTGGTGATATTTCACCTATTCATTTTCCTCTATCTGAAAGAGAATCATTAATGGTTTTCTATCCTGTTAGATTTTATCATCTCACTTTTAGGAAGTCAGTAATACTCATTCTTTCTCAAGTAGGCCACCTCATCCACCCACATTTGTCCTCATCCACACAGGCCGTAGGATGTCAGACATTTAGAGCAAGATCTTCCAGGGGTCATCAGCTCTCCCTCCACACTGCAGAATGAGATTCATGACCTTTCTGCCCAATGGCAGAACCCAATTGGTAACTAACTTATTAAAAGAGAGGTCACAGGATCCAGATTCCTGTTAGCACACCCAGAATCTGGAAGTCCCCTTGCCAGGATCTATAAATGCCAAAGAACTACTGATCAGATTAAACTTCAAGTCTGTTACCTGATCAAGGGCAAAGTGCAAGGTGCCCCAAACCCAGCACTCTGTGTTTATGGCATTTAATACTTACTGCATTAAATTGACAACTACCCACTGAAATGCCCAGAATAAAATGCCTAAAGCATGCTTTCTTAAACTCTTATTAGATATAAAGAATAACTCAGAAGATTATACCAAAGACAGAAACACTGATGTCTAGAAGACACGCAGGACAGAATTTGACAAAAGAGGACATTTAAAACTACCTCATCATGTTTTCCCTGTATATATCTAAGAAAAGTTCCTTCATCCAAAGTACTTGTGATAATATGGGCAGGTAAAGTTCCCCTCAAATACACACCTGGGAGATTGGCTTTGTGTGAAGGCAGTTGATCCCACCAACAAAAACCATATTGGGCATGATGGGCATGGGGTAATCCTTCACAAAGTCCTTTCTCATCAGCCAGACTGAGGCTGAGCTCAGAAGGTCCTGCAGAGTCAGGTCTCTCTGAAGGACTTGTGAAGCGAGTGCTGCGTAAGGGGAATAAACCATACTGCACAGAAAGTTCTCCAACAAGGCAATGAGCATGTTCTTCACTCGCTGCAGAAAGGTCATGTGATCTGAGTTTGAAGACAGAGCCCTGGGCACATAGGACAGTGGGCTGGGGCACTGGGTAGCTTTTAAGTCCAGGCCGCAAGGCAGTGCATTCAAGAAGTTCACAGCTGGCAGATCTAGGTACTGGGCCACGATGGAACCACAAGGCAGGAAAGGGTCTGTCAGCACAGCATCGAAGTCGCTCTCCACCAGGGAGGCCATGAACTCCTTGTTGTGTAGTAGATGGGAGCAGCCAGACAGAAGCACGGCAGAGTCCTTTTGGACTTTCTCATACATTTTGGCCACGCCCTGCAGGAAAGGCACGTTCTCAAAAGCATAAAACCCAAGTTCGGCAAAAGAGGTTTCTAGGTCCTCCTTTTGGAATGGTACAGGATACTTCTTCAAGGAATAAAATGATGCTTCTTTTATATGAATTGATGCTTCAGGTGTTATGACCACCATTTCATGTCCTCTCTTCTGCAGCTGCTGGATGACCCCGACCATGCTCAGCCAGTGACTGCCATCTACTGGGATTATCAACAGTTTCTCCGCATGGGATATAGAAGGGTTGAGCACACACAGTAGTAAGCCCAAGAGAAGTGCGCATGGGCCCTGGGACACTACAGCCATGGTGCCTCCACCTCTTCTGCTGCCTGCAGTACACCTCACATGTAGCCAATCTATACACCAAGTTAATGTTTGATAGTGTCACATGACTAAAGCCCTCCTTCTCCAAAGTCAGCAGGAAGCTTGCTGTCAGAGATGAGGGTGGAGCTTTACTTAACAGGGTTTCTTAACAGGCAGCAACAGTTGAGCTGGCCAGAATCCTTTCTCTAATTACATTCTTGAGTGTGCACAGAAAGAAAAATATCTCCAGCACCTCTGCATCCATTAAATTATTATTTTCATGGATCAAGAACATGTAACCAGAAGAAAAAGGCCCACTACATAACAAAGTAGACTTCCATTCCAGAAAGAGAAAGTTTCTTGGAATGCAACACCCAAACCACCTTTGGCCCATGGAGACTTTAAGAATGCCCTTCTCCACTGCCCCCTTGGGGCTCTGCCTGACCACTTTTATTAGCTTTTCATTTTTAAGCTCCATCAAGATGAACAGACTCACGATCTAAACTGATAAACAGGGACCTTGGAGGCTGTGAAATGTACTAGAAAGAAATTAATGATGTGGATCAAGGGAGGGGGTCATGCTAGGGTAGAGAGCAACTGGGAAGGGAAATCCACTAGAGAGGTTATGCACAGAAGGCTTCTCCAAAGACAGACTTGTACTCACTCAGAGAGACAGTCAGGGGACATTTGATAAATAGGAAATCAAAATAGATAAGCAAAGTAAAGCAAGTTCAATTGTATTCTTACCAAAGGTCCAGGGTAAACTCCAACAACTGCATTAAAGGCAAAGGGGACAGGTGAACAAAACAATAATAAAACTCTGTACTGTGTGCCCTATGTGCCAAGCACTGTTAAGTGCCCCATAACACACTTTATGCAATCCCTTAGAACTGTCCTGTAGAGGCAGACAGCATTTTTCTCACTTTACAAAGATACTGGGGCTAAGAGAAGCAAAGTGATTTGCCAGAGTCCTGCATATATAAGTGGTAGGGCTAAGACCCAGGCCCTGGGGGTCTGTGCTCCAAGTCACTGATCTTTTGGCCTCTAACAGCTCCCAGATAATGATGGTCAAGCCCTGGATTGAAATTTACAAGCAATTAGAAGCTGGAAGAAAAGCTGTGATCTAGGTCATTACCCAATCAAATTGAGAGAAGTAAAGGCAGGTGGAAGAACTTTAAGGCCAAGAACAGTGTTCATACAGCACCAGTTGGTGTCCTAGGAGACCAGGCAAAGGTCGGGAGTGAGCTTATAGTGGTTGCTGAACAAAAATACCCCTCCCAAAGAATGGGCTAACCATTCTTTCAGGCATCACTGAGCCCTGCAATCTTTTGGGGGGTGGGGATCAGTGGCTCTTCTCTACAAGACCTGGATGAAAACAGATACCAACATTTCTACCATGGACATCACTGCCAGCCATACTTGGGGATGTGCTAAGAAGGTCATGGAGAAACTGCCAACTTTAAATTGGTGTCCCAAGGGACACAGTAACAGGGACCCCTCCTCCTGGTACTTAGGGTCCCTCTTCTATAAGCCACCATCCTTCCTTAACAGATCCCCCATCTCCCATGGGGATGCACACAACTGCACACGAGGGCCCAGCAGCTTCTCTCTGCCCCCCAGCACTCTTAATTCTGGGTGAGCAGAAAAGACGTAGCAGTGTTTTCATTATGTGTTGTGTCCTTATCTGTAATCATGAACCCTGCAGTCCAAGCTCAACTTTAAGAGCGATAATTCTTCCAAAGTCCCAATGTTATGAGTTCATCTACAGATAACATGGAGCAAAGGGGCACACAGTTGCCACTGTAATGATTTTATGACTTTTCTGAATCATGCAGAGCCTTGGCCTCTTTTTTTTTAATGCAGTACTGGGACAACCCCAGGACTCATGCAGGCTTTACAAGTGCTCTACTGAGCTACACCTCTAGATCGTGGGGTTTTTTTTAGGTTTGAGACTACAACTCTCCCTGATCAGCAAATATGTATCCTAATCTTTATGGCAAGCAATCCTCATTCATCATGACCACTCTAAGAACCATGGCTGAGTGACCCAAAAAAACTTCTGCCTGGCACCTGAGCAAACCTGACACTTAAATCCCACTGCCAATTCACTGAATATTTATGGAACATGTGAGCACTACTGTGTGCCAGGCATTCTGCCCAGAGGACAGCCAGAAAACCAATGTAGAAATAACTCTGCCTGTGAGGAGGGGACCAGCAAGCAGAGACAAATTTACAACCAGAGAGCTGGAGGGCAGAGTGAGATGTGCTCTGGTGGCCACGGAAGGAAAACAGGACAGTAACATTTTCTTTCCCTGGGGGCTATTGAAGAGTGAGGTGTTCATGTAAAGTTTTCCTGGAACCCACAAGGAAGTGTTTTCTTTTTAAACTGAAGCTAGAAGTTAATAATCCCACCATTTGGAGCACTCTGAATTCCTTTAATATGACCAGAATGGAGGGATTTATTACTAAAGGAACAACATAAACATATCCATTGTCCTGCAGATCATCTATAGGACCCTCCATGGGAAAAAAATCTGTCTTCTTCAAACCTCTGCAGCATTCTGTTCTATTCTGCCTTTCTTATTCACCAGTTTGTAGATCTGTCCTTGCTATTAGACTGTACATAAGTATCTACATTCCTTACAGGCAAGATTTCAATTTAGGAATCACTGTCTCACCCAGGCACCCATCCACAGTCTTTTAGACAGTATGCACTCAGTATAAGTTCTGTGTAGCTCAACTTCCCTCTCCCTTTGCTCTAGGCCCCACATCCAAAAGCAGGCAGGTGCTGAATATGGGTGATTCTCTCACCACCTCTCAGCCCCCTCTGCTAGCTCCCCTGGGAGCAGCCTCAGGCTCCAGTCCCTTCAACCATTAGTTGTTGAGTGTGACTCACAGCATCAGCCACTCCCTGCCCTGCCCCAACACCCACCACTGCTGGCACCTTGCTCAACAGCTTCCTAAGACCCACAAGAACATTCATACTCTACAGTCTTTCCCTCAGGACATCCTAGAATGAACCCAGACCATCTGCCTAAGCACATTCCTCCTCTCTAGCTCTTCTGCTCGATTCTTCCCTCTGCTGTGTGCTCTCCTGCCATCCTGGATCATTTGCCCTTCCCAAAACCTATTTTGTACTTTCCCAAGTTGCTTTGTTCATACTGGACTTCACTCCTGAACAGTTGCCTACTAATGTTTATTGTGTGATTACTAAGTGCCAAGTCCAGGAATTCAAGTTGTGTTACTCAATGTGATATAAAGTTGGCAATTTGTTCTGGAGAGATAATGCACCCAGTTCCACTCATTATCCTTCATGTTGAAATCTTAGAAAGTTCATTGGTTAATCATTTTCCCCTTAGAACCAAATAGCCTTTATTGATGTATTGCTTCACAACTAATCAAAGCAGGAATATTGTGCCCAAAAAAGAGAACAGGGAGAAAATGGAGAGAACTCAAATATCAAGAAATGTCAAAAAGAAAACCATCATGATCCAGTAGTTTCAGTGGAACTAATCTCTGCATCCCAAGTTTACCCCAGTACTATGAAGACAGCACAAGATTATACAGATCTTGATTTACTAGACCAGTGATTCTCAAAGTATGGGCTGGGGATCCTTGGGGATCCCCCAAGAACTTTTAAGGGGAATTTTACAAAGTCAAAACTATTTCCTAGAGGGGCCTGTAGCATACACCTGTAATCCCAACTACTCCAGAGGCTGAGGCAGGAGGTCCAGACCAGTCTGAGCAACTTGGCAAGACACCCTCCATTCTCCACCAAAAAAAAAAAAAAAAAGTTGCTCTGACAACAATGCTGATTTTTTTTCACTCTTTTACAAGCATACAGGGGAGATAATTAAAGGTTTCCCATTGCCTGACATCAAAACAGACTGAATGCAGAAGAAGACCCGAGAATACAACTATTAAGTCAGATAATAAAACGAGATGTGAAAAATGTAAAACGATGCCACTCTTCTCACGGGATTATTTTGTTTGAAAAAACAGCTATTTTCTCATATGAATGGGATTTACGCCAGCGTGCCAAGGGTCATTATTATTGCCTAATGAATACATCTTTTAATTCTCAGTTTTAATTTCTTATACATGTTAGATACAACACGGTCACGGTAAAGCAACGGGTCCTGAGGACAGCAGTCCGACGCAGTCACATGACTGCCCCACCCAGGGTCCACCAACCTACCCTTTCCCTCACGGCCCTCCCCCTGCTGAGGCAGAGGGCTCGACGCACAGAGGAGTGTTAAACGGCATCTCCGGAGCGGCCAGGGCTCGCCCCTCTCTCTCCACGGAGGGTCACTCTCCTGGTCTATTCGCACCCCAAGGGCAGGTCCGAGGGGGCGGGGCGGTGGGCGGGGCCTCCGCGCCCGGGGGTGGGGCGTCACAGAGCACCTCCTCCAGCGGCGGGCACAGGCCCCCAAGCACAGCATTCTGGGATGCGGCACCGACGGAGGCCTCGGCCAATGAGAGGCGGCCACGTCACAAGGGGCGCCCCTGTCGGCCGCTCTCGCTGCAGCCCGCACTCGGCCGCGTGCCCCGGCTGCCCCCGCGCTGCTCGCCGTGCCCTGGCCACGGGCCGCGCCCGCTGCCCAACATGGTGGACTACTACGAGGTGCTGGGTGTGCCCCGGCAGGCCTCCTCGGAGGCCATCAAGAAGGCGTACCGCAAGCTGGCGCTCAAGTGGCACCCCGACAAGAACCCGGAGAACAAGGAGGAGGCCGAGAAGAGATTCAAGCAGGTGGCCCAGGCCTACGAGGTGTTGTCGGACGCCAAGAAACGCGACGTCTACGACCGCTACGGTGAGGCCGGCGTGGACGGCGGCAGCGCGGGCGCAGGCAACTTCGAGGACCCCTTCCAGTTCGTCTTCACTTTCCGCGACCCGGCTGAGGTCTTCAAGGAGTTCTTCAGCGGCCGGGACCCTTTTTCGTTTGACTTCTTCGGAGACCCGCTTGAGAACATTTTTGGGGGTCGGAGGAGCTCCCGGGGAAGCAGAGGGTCCGCACCCCTTTTCTCTACCTTCAGTGGCTTTCCAGCTTTTGGGGGTGGTTTTTCTTCTTTTGATACAGGATTTACTTCCACAGGATTTACTTCCTTTGGTTCCCTTGAAAATGGAGGCCTTTCTTCCTTCTCCATGTCTTGTGGCAGTGGTGGGACAGGAAGCTTCAAGTCCATGTCAACTTCCACCGAAATGGTTAATGGCAAAAAAGTCACCACCAAAAGAATCATTGAGAATGGCCAGGAAAGAGTGGAAGTGGAAGAAGACGGAGAGTTAAAGTCCCTGATAATAAATGGCAGAGAGCAGTTGCTACACATTGACACCAAGTAATTCCCCTGGACTTAAAGCACATTTTGGGGGAATAGCAGGACATTTTTTTAAGACTGCAAATGAAGTCTACTTTCAAAACAGCTGTACCCAAGAATGTATAAACAGTTCATGCCAACACCAATTTGTTGTTATTGTTGGGACTACACGAATAGAATCTCTGTCTTTAAAACTGTTGTAAATATCTGTATGCACTGTGCTATTTATTAAACTTAATCCCGAGGCAGATGATGATTATTTCGTAGTGCTAGGAAAAAGTGGTCACTACAGCACTTTAATCGTTCATTATTTCATTGTTTGAAATATGAGCCATTGAAATATGAATCAATTTGTTGGCACATAGCAGTGAAAGATATTAATAATAGTTCTGGTTTAAAATAAAGATGGATTTTGGTTGTACATAAACTGGTGGTATAGCAAGAGTTGACCATTGTTTAAATGAAATGTTAAAACCTGGCTTTTATTTAAAGAGTTAAATGTAGCAAAATGGGTTTACCTAGTTTCCTGTGGTTGCTGTAACAAATTACCACAAACATGCTGTCTTAATAAATTTGTATTTCTTCTCTGAAAGTTCTGGAAAACAGAAGTCTGAAATCCATTTCACTGAAAAGAGAGGACCAGAAGCATGCTCCCTCTTACCGGGAAATGTTCAAGTAAAGGTATTTAATGTCAGGACTATACTCGGGGCTGACTTGGTTCTACAACTAAGTAGAGGCTGGAAAGAAGCAAAGAAACAGAGCCTTTCCCTAAGGCTACATGACACTCCCTGAGAGCCATGCTGAGGATAGATACCCTATTAGCTTCACAAACTAGTTTTTTCCAGAAAGATTGGTTAGGTGAGGCACCATGTACCACACACCAAGGCATGGCTAGCAACACAGCAAGCTCTTAGTCCTTTGCAGAGCAGTTGTGTGGCCTGAACACTGTCAACTAGAACTGTGTGAGAATAGGCCTGACCCTTATTGTGTCCTAGAATTCCAGTGTGCATGGAATGACATGCAGATGACTCAACGGCAGGAACATGGGATGGGACTCAGCACTCTCATGGGCACCCAGACTGTTGAAGCCACTTTTAGGGAACAGTCCTGAGATACCTGTGCAGTTGCTCCCTATGTAGTAACCTTTCAAGAGTGTCAGAAAATACTACATGTGGAGGCTCACACCTGCAATTTCAGCTACTTGGTGGGCTGAAGCAGGGGGAACACAGGGCAACTTAACAAGATTCTGTCTCAAAATGAAAAATAGAGCTGTGAATGGAGCTCGGTAATAGAACATCCTGGGTTCAATACCCAGTATCACACACAAACACAAGCAAAATATTTTTAAAAACAAACTTCCAGGGATTTAAGAAAACATGTTCATTTGGCAGAGAAAGGGGATTCATACCAGTGAGCATACTCATTAAGGGGCCGCTGGGGCGGCTTTGTTTCCAAAGAAGCTGCGGGAGCAGGAGTTTGAACTCGGAGGAGCAGGCAGTGTCCAAATGGTGATGCATGTGAAATCACTACTCTGCACAAGGCAGACTGAGTGTGTGTAGCAACACAGTAGGTCACAAAATGGTCCAGAAAGAATTCAGTGGTAGGCAAAAGGCCTGGCATACCAAGTTCACTCAGAGGTCACAGTCTTTAAGATCTCTGGCTAGTCTTAATTGTTGGGAGCAAACCTGAAAATTAATTAGGGCATATTCTATATCATTGCTGCAGTGAATAGAAATTTTTCTATCTACAGAGGTAATAAAGCATTTTTTCATTGTTATCAATTTATTGAATAAGAAGTATATTTCTATGGAACAAAACTTTAAAAGTACTACAGTTTACAATGAACAGTATCTCTTCTAGCCCTCTTCCCACACTGCCCAATTCTTCTACCAAAATATCAACTAATAAAGCATTTTCCTTAAAGAATATTTAGAACTGAAAATCCGTTTTGAAAATGTGTAAGCTGAATAAAAAGCTCCTATGAACTAATGGTTAGGAATAAAATCAAGCATATGATGTGAATGAGCATACTTCTTCCATCAAAAGAAACTAATTTGAGGGTTTTTTAAAAATTATCTGAATTATTTAAAATGTTCACAATATTCTAAGTGAAAGTAAAGAGCCTGGCAACAACAACAAAAAAAAAAAAAAAACAGAGTAGCCGCACTGGCATCAGGTGAAATATGGACAGTACTTAAACATAACAGCCAACTCTATAAACAAGGTGCAAGCACTAAACCTACATGCACCAACCCGGCTACTGCAAAGACTTTTTTAAAAAAATCAACTATATTTTAGCAAATACCAGTTACATCATGAAAAAATATTAGTTATATAACACATTTATGAGCATTAGGCAGATTCAATGAATTTATAACAAAAGAATTGAAATTAGGCAATATGGGTATATGCTCAGAATATTTATGAAATTTGGTCATGTAGTATGACATGACACCATAACTCATCCTAATTGAGCCAGGCTGCATAAGTACAACACACATTAGGTTGCTTCTACTCCACTGACTGCTCGGTGTGCTGTGAGCACCTCTCCATCCCTCTCAGACAAGACCACTTCAAACCATCATGTCAACAATCCCAACCTGCTGGTTGCTGTGCACTTCTACTGAAGACCTGCAAGCAAATTTTCCCATAGGGGTCAGAACATACCTCAATTTCTCTGCTACTGCACAGGAAGGACATGGCACCACCAGGAAGTTACTCCCCTGACACATGGATAGGTGGGAGTCACATCATTGCCTGTCTGTCAATCATGATACAAACCCCATGCCACACACTCAGCCCCACCAGTGGTCAGTGCAAGCCTTAGGCACATGAGCAATGACACCTTAACAATTAAACTCACTGAAGATGATTAGGAGAAGGAGAGGCAGGAATCTTGGGAGACAACACTAGATAAGTAAGCACTTGAAAGCAAGTTTCTTTTTCAAGGAACTCTGCC